TCATCGAGCATCAGATGCTTACCAGGCTTGAGGCCAAGGAAGAGTCCCTCTGTCCCATTTCCTGTCTGGTACTCAACGTCCCCAACAGAGGGCTGTCTGTTTGCATGCTGGTGGTGACTTGCAGCTTATTGCCTCTGTCTCCCTGCTGCCCCCAGCAGGATGGTAGAGTAGTCAAGGGTATGCCTCTGGGGCCAGGCTGCCTGTGTTCAGATTACTTAGCTGTGTAACCTTAGTCTGGTTCTTAGCTTCTCTGTGTTTCAGTTTCTCCAGGTATACATAGAAGACTGGGAATAGCATTTGTGATGCAGGGTTATGTGGAGGATTGAGTGAGTCGACATACGGAGTGCTGGGGACAAAGCCCAGGGTGTCAGCAGAGTCTCTGTACTGACTGCTGGATGTGCCTCTTCCAAACCTTCCCATCCTTTGACACTCTGTTTAGGTGTCCCTCAGCTCTTATGGGCCTGATACCTGTGCCCTGAGTGACCTAGAGGACACATTTTGCTGGATGCTGGTCAGCCCTGTCCAGCTTATCCCCCAGACTGGAAGGTCTGATGAAAGACCCTGGCTCTGTTCACCGTGTCTCCAGTGTTTAGCATGAGCACTTACATAGGTGTGAGCCAGTAGTTTTCTTGAATGAGTGTATGAATGAATGATATGAATAATTCCTTCTTAGACTTTTTGGGGCCCAGATAGTAAGATGAAAGTCAGTGAAGTAGTAGGAAATTGCCATCCCTGGCATTAAGAGATCCAGTTAGAATTCTAGTTCCCTTAAAGTAGGCAATGGACTTGAGGATTAGAGGGAGTGGGAGGAGGGTGGATGATGGGAGATTGCTCGATGGGTACAGTGTGCCTTGCTTCAGTGATATATGTACTGAAGGCTCTGATGTCACCACAACACAGTATATCAATGTAGAAAAATTGCACTTATAGCCCATGAATAAGAAGATAAATGGGATCAGGTATGGTGGTTCATGCCTGTAATCCAGTACTTTGGGAAGTGGAGATGGGGGGATCCCTTAATGCCTTGAGTTCGAGCCTGGGCGACATAGACCCTGTCTCTACTGAAAATAAAAAACTTGGCAGGGTGTGGTGGCTTGTACTGGTGGATCCTAGCTACTTGGGAGGCCAAGTCAGGAGCAGTGCTTGAGGCCAGGGGGTTTGATGTTAGAATAAACTATAATCGTGCCACTGCATTCCAACCTGGGCAACAGAGTGAGACTGTTATTTCTTGAAAAAGGGGGAGCAGCAAAAGAATTTAATTTCCCTATGTGAGTTCCTCCTCATCTCAGCCTCAGCATTATCATCCTCAGAATGGGTGCTGCACTGGTTCCCTTAGTTACCTTCTCAATACCTATTACTTGCTTCTTCCTTAATAATAAATAGAATGTTCTTTTGGAGGAAGAGCTGCAGTTATCTCACCACAGAGGAGAATAATTCCTTTTCCATGTTCCTTTGCACCTGGGATGGAGGAGGATCATGAGAACTGAGCCAGCCAATGGAATGTCCACAGGATCTCTGGGAAAAAATGAATTCTGTCACTGAATTTTTCTTTTGCTCTTATTGCTTTGAACTTGAACATGATATTTGAAGGCATGAGCGTGGGGACCAAAGCCAGTCTGCTAAGAGCAGAGAGAGCACCAGCCCTTGCCCGCCTCCAGACACTTCCCTGTATGACCATCATAGAGCCATATTGATTTAAGCCCTGGTAATTTGGGTATTCTCTTTCTGAGAGCCTGGGGTATTCCACACAAGTGTAATGATGTCACCATGCCCAGGGATCTGCAGAGAGGAAACCCCAGCCCTGCACAGAGCAGGTGCTCAGTAAGTGAATAAGCAAATATGTCCATTCATGCCCAGTCTGACTTGCCATCCTTCTGACCTGTACAGATATGAGAGAAGCACAGTCTCCACTGTGTCAGAACACACTGTAGAATGGACCCTCAGGGCAGGGCCAGAATTCTCTAGCATGTGGTTTTGTGGGAGAGAGAGCAGAGTACCCTATGTGACCTCATTGGAGGTCAATGGGAAACATTTTGACAGAAGCCCTGGGCCTTGAGTGGGTCTTGGCTGTTGGGCATGGCATTGTCACAGGCAGATTCAGAGGAAGAGCAGTTGGGGTAGAGGGGCCTGAAGGTGGGAAGCCAGGGCAGAGACTAATTGTCCTTAGCACATGGGCATATAAAGGGGTTATGAGAAGTCACATTGACAGAGCTTGATAGATGGTGGGACCCAGTGTCAGGCCACAGTCTGGCTTTGTTCTGTCGATCAACATCCTCAGACTATTGTCATCCCTGTGTTTTGTCATGGAGTTGTATGACCCATGTTATTATTTGCTGCTTTTCTTTTTCTTTTGGTCTTTTTTTTTTTTTTTTTTTTT